TCCTGTATCCTTTTCCTCCTTTCATCCTGTTGTCTAGCTGAGCTTTCTTGTATCTCCTTGAGTTTCTTTAGAATTATCACTCGAAATTCCTTGTCATTCATTTCAAGGGCTTCTTGTTCTATAGGATCTAGAGTTTGAGATTTATTAACTTTTGGTGGTGTACTTTCTTGGTTTTTTGTGTTTCTGGTATCTTTTTTTGGATGTTTATTCATTTTGGCAGGGGGTTTCACTGTGCACAGGTTTGACCCTATTGGCTAACTAAGGTATGGCTGTGTTTGTCAATTTGGTATGGCTACGTCTGTGACTGCTCTGTTGGCCTCTAGTGTCTTCTGTGTGTGTTTGCCTTGGGTCTTGGGCCTCTCTGGGAAGCCTCCTTTCTGGTCAGCTTAGACTCTACTGGGCTGCTAGATCTTGGGACGGTACTGCAGGGTGTGTGGTCTCTTTTGAACTTCCAGTTCTCATGTAGAACTTCTCTCTGTTCCATGTGCTCTGGCCCTGGCTGCTGGATTATACAGTGGCGGCCCCACAGGGTATGTGTTTTATGCCGAGTCTCCGCCTCCCTATCCAGGCTTTTCCCCACTCTGTGTGCACTAGGTGGGGCTGTTGAACCTTGCAGAGGCGGCTCGCAGGGTGTGTGCTTTTTTGCCGAGTCTCCGCCTCCTTTGCCAGACCCCTCCCCACTCTGTGCGCTCAGTACAAGGCTGGGGCGTGTCTTCTGCAATCCTCGTCTATCAGCCAGGACTTTAAGCCCCTGCTCAACCCCGCCCCACCCAGGAAGACTTTCAGGTTTCTGCTAGGGTCGCTCTGGGTGCTTTTGTGGCCCTGGATAGGGCTTTCTCTGGACTTCTCACCTTCCTCCCGGTATTGCAGTTATTTGTGTAGTTGAGTTATCTCCCACACCAGGGCGTGAGCTCCTCGGGGGAGGATCCCACAGCACACAATTCCTCTTTAAATCTCCCTGGCGTGGGCCGACTCTGGCACCCGCCCTCAGTCAGCACTCCAGCAGGTTCAAGCGAGCTCGAAAGCACTCCGGCAACACCTCCAGTCAGATTTTCTATTCTGGAGTGCTTTGCCCAAGAGATGCCAAGGGATTCTGTTCACTGAAATGCATTGATTGAGCAGCCACTACGTTGGGAGTGAAATAGGTTTGTGCATCCAATTAAATGTTAGGCTTAGTTAAGGCTGACACGTCATCCGTAATGGGCCTCCTTCACCTGTTTCTGGGCCGCTTATGTTCCGCCGGTCCCGTGGGATGCCTCCTCCACACAGGCCACTGTCTTTCTCCTGGCTCCAGGCCCTCCGTCCCCTCGGCTGAGGAGCGCCGCCCGCCCGGGGTCTGCAGGGCCAGGAGGAGGCTGCGCGCAGACCGGGCGGGAGACCGGAGGCCAGGGGAGGCGAAAGAATTAGGGCAATTTTTAAAATGATCCAATCATCTGGTCATTTATTCACATCTCTAATCCTAGCATCTCTGTATATGATCACAAAAAAATATATACTCAGTGCTTAAAATATTTATTTATAAACAAACTAAAGATCTTCTTTAACCAATGTTTCAAAGTAAAAATTAAAACAATTTTTATATTTAAAACTGGCAAATATTACTAGCCAAAATAAGGGCTTTTTTGATGACTATTGGAGCACAGTTCTTTATCATTCTTTCTAATTGGAGCACAATCCTTTCTAATTTTTCAAATAGGAAATAAGTGATTTCTTGACCACAAAAATAGTCTCTTTTGGGGAAACACCATCTTGATCATAAGCATTACAGATTTGGAAGTAAAGATCAGGATCAGTTCTAACCAACGTTTCAGTTATGATTGACAAAACAGGTTTAACAGCCTTAGTCTCTCTGAAAAAAAAAAAGTAAATAAAAAAAAATGCTGCATGGTCTTATTTAAAAATATTTTTTAGTACATCACAGTAAATAATGATTAGTATTACATAAAATTATTTAGAAATTATTTAAATTCCATTTCACCTATTAACAAGTCATAGTTATATGTTTAATTTATGAAACCAAGTAAAGAATATAGAATTGAGAAGAGAAAAAATATCAAGGCTGCAAAGAAAATACAAGAAATCATTAAAAGTCAGAAAAAGAAAGAAAACATTAAACTCAAAGAACCCTTAGAAATTATTTAGTTAACTCCCAGATTTTTACTTTTTTGCCCTTCACTTTATTAGACAAAGAATTTGAGGTAAAATTCATATTTTACAAAAGGAGTAAGATTAAGACAAGAGAGATTAAGCTGCACTAGAAAATGGATTAACGTGTATAAGTGAAAGAAGCTAAACAATTTTCTATTTTACACAAACTGTAAGCATTTAAAAGATAAAGTTAAAACAACTGATGTTATAAGCTAAGTTTCTTCTATCAGCATTTTTAGTTTCATAATAAAATTTTTGGCATAATTACTCTAAATTACACAAAAAAATGGTTACACTGTGTAATGATAAAGATAGTAATAATTAATAATTAAATTATAAATATATAACAGTAAAGTCACTGAATGGTTTCAATCTTTAGAGAATTTTAAAAATCAACATTTTTATTTGCTAAAATGAAGTCAGTGTATAAAGAAAGATTTATAATGGACACGTAACACATGCTACACACCTCTTTCTTTCCTCTTTCAGTGAGTGCTACTCCATATAAAAACAGTAACGTCAAATAGTAACCAATATTAATCTGGTGTGCCTAAAAAGAAAAAAAACGTTAATTGGTTATTTAGACTAAGCTACTTTTCAGTATAGCAAGCTACTTAAATATCCTAGACCTATTTAATAACTACTTAAAATATTTAAATTATCATTATATTACCAATCTTCTAGTAATAACAATAGAGAATGTGTTTTAGACGTATTTGATAATCTGACCCAGGAAGAAGAAAGAAGATAGTCAGTAATTTCGAAATAAAACATCAGAAGTTGATTAAAGAAAAAAGCAAATGACATCAAAATTTTTTACATTAAATCTTTCAAAAAATTCTCATTCTCTCTTATTAATTAATACCTAATTAATATTATTAATATTTTAGGTATCAAGAACACTTTAGACAATAATATACTGAACACTCAAGTATCTACCATCTACCTTAAAAAATACAATCATCTTGTAAATTAAAATCCCTTACTTTCCATGTGTTGGTTTTGTTACAACAGTATAAACACAAAACTTAACACTTCTTCAATGAAAAATTAAAACACATAGATACCTCCACTTAGAAATGATGTATGAAAATTACAGAGATGGAGACAGATTAAGGATCACAGAAGGTAAAGAGGGAGAGGGGTGGATGTGACTATAAAGTTATTATAGGAGAAATTTTTGTCATGATGGAATAGTTCTTTTACCTTGATTGCGCTAGTAATTATACAAACGTACACTTTCAATAAAATGACATAGAACTATACATACCTGTGCATAAGAAAGTCAGCAGAGCTAGCCTGAGACTGCTATCCTCATTAAGGCCTGCTTGCAAAGTTGATCTTTGACTGGTGCTTGGAACTTGGATTTTGGCAGTGTTTCCACTGTTCTCTAACTAATAAGGTGGCTCACTGTACCTACAATGTACAAACTGAACAGCATTGGATGTACAATGCTGAACACCTGGAAGTTTCTTCTGGGAGTCTGGAATTTTGATACATTCTAGACAGAGGGGATCTAGATGTACAATCCCCAATAAAAATGTTGAGCACTGAGTCTCTAATGAGCTTCCCTGGGCAGAAACATACATTGCCACATTTTCATTCATTGCTTATGGGGAGAGGGGTACACCCTGTGGGAACTCCTCATGGGAGGAAGAAAACAGTACAGACTCAGTACAGTAGACTGCCCTTCCCAGTGTGGGTGGGCATCATCCAATCCATTGAGGGCCTGAATAGAACAAAAGGTAGAGGAAGGAAGAATTCACCCCTTTTTGCTTCATGCCTTCCTGCTTGAGCTGGGATACCTCTTATCTTCTCCTACTCTCTGACTGGGAGTTACACCATTGGCTCCCTTGGTCCTTAGGCCTTTGGAATTAGGCTGAATTATACCACTGTCTTTCTTGGGTCTCCAACTTGCAGAGCACAGACCATGCGCTTCTCAGCCTTCATAATCACATGAGCCATTTCCGCATATTAAGTCATATACGTATAGTATACAAAACAGTATATATAACAGAAACTGGTTTTGAATCAATTGCTCCTAAGCTCTATACAGACTGAAGATTATAACCATATCTTTTGTCACATTAACCTTTTTTGAAACTGCCCTAAACCATAAATAAGATTTTTTTCAGGTACATAAGGATGATAAATATCCACGGGATACAAACTTTCTTTTTATACTCATCTAAATGAATTTTCTCACCTAGAACACTTCATATGACCAACAGTACGCATTTATGAGATAACTGACTGGAGTTAGGAGTTTGCCTTCAAACTGATCTCAGTGGAAAGAGACATGTGTTTGTTCTCGACTAAGTGAGTTTACAAATCCAAACTCCCTATAACATCTAACTGGTTTCCACTTTAAAATTCCCATCTCTGCAGTGCCGGTATAATGTCGTAGTTCAGAGCATAGACTCTGGAGACAACACTACAGTACATGGGCTGTATCCTGATTCTATTACTTACTAACTGGTAAATTTAGCATTATTTAATCTCTATGCCTTGGTTTCCCAATCTATAAAATAAGAATAATAAGATGGAGTAGTTATGAAGAGTAAGTGAGCTAATCTTTACAAAGCACTTAGAACAGTGGCTATTACACAGCAAACAATTTAAATAAGTGTAGGCTATTATCTTGCTATTTAAAAAAAAAAGCTTTATAAATAATACAACAGAGTCTGTAGCTCATACAATTCCAAATAAAAACAATATTTTTGGGAACAGGATAAGATGCAGAATTGTGGTAATGCTGTAATTAGAAGGCAAAAAACTGAAATTTAAAGATGCGATTGACATATTTCTAACCTAAAGCCCTCGCATTTTTCCTCCCAACCTCCCCTCATTAGCAAAGATTATTCCAAGTACTGGAACCAAATGGATAAAGAGATGCTATTGGCAAACATACCTCCCCCCACAAACTCACTGCTGCCCCCTACAAGGTTATCTTGCCCCTTCTTGGTGGCCTTGAGGGGCACGGAGAGCCATTTGGATACAGTTGTAGGCTGCTTTGATCATGACAATTACAATTCTACTCACAAGTGCTACTAAGAGAGTGAATTCTTCCATTTCCTTGTCTAAGACTCATCTCTGAAGTAATGCGTAAGCAGAGAAGGCTAAGTAATATGCACCTGTTAATGCTTATTTTATACTGATTTATTTCACTGACTAGCAATCTGGTCAGTGGGAGAAACAGCAGGTATGCAGAATCCCAGAAGTTCTTGGGACCATAAGATGCAAATCCCCTTTGGTTGCTTTCTCTTTTGAATCCATCTAGAACCTCCTCCTTTAGAGTGGTGTACATTCCCTTTAGAACTCTAGTCCTGAGTCTTCTAAATAAGGATTATTTGTCTACCTCCTTATACATCACTATAAAATAGGATTTGGTGTCTTCAGCTACCTTTTTTGGTGCCTGGGTCGTTCTCATTGGAAGATAACCCTAACCTATGTTCTGCGTGTATGAAAAACTTTGTTTACTGATCCAAGTTATGCAAAGTACTGATTTTTCCTTTCACTGTCCTGTATTATTGGTTCTAATTTTTGATGCAATATTTTTCCCTCAGATTATTCTATTTATTTCTAAAGTATCATTTGACCTTGAACACATAAATATATTTTGTCAATTTTACCTATTACAGAAGTTCCAACTTTTACAAATACAGCATATCAGAAAAAGGAGAAACTAATAATTAGGGAAAAAGAGAGAATAGGTTATTTCTTTTTTAATTGACAAATAAAAATTGTTTAGATTTATTGTATATAAAATGACGTTTAAACAATGTATACCTACAAATACAGCATATCAGAAAAAGGAGAAACTAATAATTAGGGAAAAAGAGAGAATAGGTTTTTTCTTTTTTAATTGACAAATAAAAATTGTTTAGATTTATTGTATATAAAATGACGTTTAAACAATGTATACCTCATGGAATGACTAAATCAAATTAATTAACATATATGCATTACCTCACATATCATTTTTTTGTGGTGAGAACACTTAAAATCTACTTTCTTAGCAATTTTTAAGAATACAATACATTGTTATTAACTATAATCACCATGCTGTACAACAGTTCTCTTGAACTTATTCCTCCTGTCTAACCAAAATTTGGAATCCTTTGACAAACATCTGCCTGACCCTCTACCCCCAACACCTCACAGCCCCTAGTTAGTACCATTCCACTCTCTACTTCTGTAAGTTCAACTTTTTTTCAATTCCACATCAAAATGACAATATGCAATATTTGTCTTTCTGTGCCTGGCTTACTTTTTGAAGTTCATGACTCTCCATTTCTAATTGGGAAAGCTCACTTCTATTAGTTCAAGTTTTTCTTAAGATGAACAATTTTGTGGTAGGTAAGGGGACCAGAATAGGCTCATTACAGAGATGCAGTCACATAAGAAAATATAAGACACAGGAAAGCAATAAATTTATATGTACCCTTCTCTAGAGGTAAAAGAGGAAAATACAAATTGGCCTACACATCAAAATAAGCATGCATTGGCTGTTCTCTCATCAAAAAATGTTGTCCCACTCCATTATCTCAAATTCTCAAAAAAACCCCCACACTTACAGTATAATTAGTAGCTTGAATGTTCCTAAGTGCTGCTTCCAGTTGTGTTATCAAGAAACGTAAAGTCAAAGCAGGAACAATTTCCTCCCCATTCTGGCTGTTAGCTGCAACTTCTCTCTGGGGAAAATATTATTTAAGTTAGAACAAATATACTTGTATATTTACATTATACAAATAACACATGGTCACTGCAGAAAATTTGGAAAATAGAGATAAAGATGGTATAAAAATATATCCACACAACCCACATGCTGTTCTCATATTTGTTTGTCTTTAAGTAGTCTGATGAATCTCCTTTGTAACTATTTCCTCAAAACACTAAAAAGAATTCCCATTCCTGCCAAAGAGTTGGCAATATCCACTACTACTTCATTCTCATACCTCCTATTCTGTGCATAGCTAAAATCTTTCCAGCCCTGAACCCGTGGTAAACAGGAATGCTGGCATTAATACCATTACAGAGCAAGCCATTTTATGCTACAATCTGATTAGAACTGAGCTAATATATGCTTTATTATGTACCATAGTTTGTCATTTACATGAATGAAATGAAAGGAAGAACTATATCTTATTTTTGTGTCAATTCCCCGGTGTTTTATGCTCACAAATACTTGGCTTAAATTACATTATCTGTTTAAAGAAGTATAAACTGTATAGAAAATTTAACCTACACTTTTCTTAATTTGGTTTCCACCATATAATACTTTGCTATTTCTCCTAGCTACCTACATATTTTATTTTGGTCTCCCCAGCAGCAAATCTAATGAACCTCTTGTCTATCAACACACATTCCCTAGATAAAGTAATCTACTGCATCATGTTTTTAAATAGTGTCTATCGCTGACAGTTTCCAAATTTATATTTCTAGCCCGAACTATAACCTGAATTCCAGACTCATATACTCAACCATTTACTCAACAATATCTCTCAAATATAAATAGGTATATAAAACATAACACTGAAGTTAAGCTGAACAAAATATAAAAAAAACATTTATCTGAAAGCAATGAAAAGCTGTCAAGTCAGTGAAAGTCTCTGGGGCCAACATGCAGGAGAGGAGGAAGGGCCCAGAAACATGAGACTGAATTTTGGAGCCACTTTTCTCCTTAAAGCAGTTGCCATTATCAGTTGTGGCTGAGATGCTAGGCAGAGCTTTCAGCAGATTTGCAGAGTCGGGGAGGTAACCGGAGTGCATAGTCTATCAAGGAGGAGAGGCCCTAGTGAGCATCCCATTCTTTTGATCTGCTTTGGTTCCAATGGAAGGAAACCATAACAAAAGAATTTGAATGCAAGTAGTTTATTTGGGAGGCACAGAGAACAATGGTAGGAAAGTGGAGAAGTGATAGAGAAAAGGGAAAGCAGTTTTTAAATTAAAGGATGTGCTATTAAGCTATTTACCCATACTGGGCGACTGGAAAACTAAAAAATACAAGCCTCAGTATTATACAACTCAAGGGAAGAGGAAACTGGGGCATTTATATAATAACACCCAAGACTTACTGATTGACTGCTTTCTGGGGTGAGGTGGGAATATTAATTCCTTGGTAATTCTGAACTGCAATGGGACATACAGTCTTCTGCAGTTGCAGAAGAAAGGCCCTGAGGTGTACAAATGCAGATATTCTGAAAAGTGAAAATTGTCCAGAGCATACTGAAAACATGGAGCTGAAGGGGTATGGGCAGTACATTGACAACATCTACCATAAAGGGCATAAAAATAGACCCTTCCTCACAGAACAGAAGTAAAGCTTGGAAACATCTCACTTCCTGGATGAATTAAGTAATCTACCAGAAAAGTACAAATAAGCATTACTAGAAAAGATTCTGTCTAGGTTTTCTAGTTCTTCACAGAAGCTTACTTGAAACACTCCAGCCAGCCACAGCAAGTAGCAGAATCCTCTATTATTTTTTCAATGACTACAGGATTTGTATTGATGTTTTCACATTCATCCATGATTTTGGTTATTTTTGCTTGCTTGCTTGCTTTTTTGAACATTCTTATCAACCACTTATCAACTTTATTGGTCTTTTCAAAAAACCAAGTTTCAGCTTTATTGATCTTCTACATTTTACATTTTATTATATTTCACTAGATTTAGCTACCCTTTTTGACTGTTTTTAATCTGCTGTTTGTCCATTACCCTCTTGAACTTCATGCTTATATGACTGATATTAAAGTTTGCTTCTTTTTCCAATATATGCCATTCGAGCTATACATTTTCCTCAAAGCACAGCTTTACCTAATATCACAAATTTTGATATATTTTTATTCAGTTCAAAAATTTAACTTCCATGTGATTTCTTCTTTGACCCATGGGTTACCTAGATTATAGGTATGTATCTTACGAACATATGGTTTTCTAGTTTATCTTTCTATTATTGATTTGGAGACCAATTGCACTGTTGTTACAGAACATGTCTGTATGTTTGATTGGAGATGAAATGTGTTTATGATCTAGCATATCTTCAATTTTTGTGTGTACTTTAAAAGGATGTGTATTCTGCCACTATTAGGTGCAGTGTTTTGTGTTTGTGTGTGTGTGTATGTGTGAATTAGATCAAGTTTTCTAGAGGTCTACTAGTTATGTGTCCATGTTCTATCAGCTATTAAGAGAAGCACCATGTTAAAATCTCCCACTGAGATTTCTCTGTCCAGTTCTTATTATTAATTTTTATCATCTTATCATTCATAAAACTTCTGTATGTATTTGGGTCTACTTCTGAAATTTCTGTTTTCTAGACTTGTCTGTAGTGTAAATAACAAGTAACACAATCTTTTAGTTATTACAGCTTCATAATAACTAAGTGGGTAAATTCCCAGCCCTTCTCCCCTACACTTCTCTTACATAATTTTCTTGGCTACTGTTCCTCTTATTTTCCATTTGAACTTTAGAATTAGCTTTCAGTAACAATAACCAAAAAAAAATCCTTCAGTTTTACTGGAATTGTGTAATATTTGTAGATTTTAATTTAGGGAAAATTGACAGCCTTACAACATTGTGTTTTCCTTCCTACATGTATTATTTTCCATTCAGGTCTTCTTTTCTTACCCTTAATAGAGTTTTACAGATTTTTTGTTTATTGTTTTAATATGGAGGATAGTTTTCTTAACTTAATGTGAATAAAATCAGTGTGTGCATGTCCTTGTTAAAATGCAGATCCCCAGCAATTTTGATTATTTAGTACTAGTAAAGAGTTCAGATATTCTCATGTAAGTGGTTTAGAACAAACGTTTGAGAAACATTAGTTTATCTTGTACATTTCTTAAGTGTTTTCCTGGGTATCTTACTTTTGTTGCTATTATAAATACGTACTTTTCTTCTATTTTTACCTTCCAATTGCCTATTGTTTGCATATATGAAAGTTATTGATTTCTGTTTTTTATTGTTTCTGGATGATTTTCAAAAGATAAGAAGGAAATGGTGGCATTATTCCATCAATAAATTATCTCAGTTAAGGATATAATTATACATAAAGTCCTACAGATGTTTTCAGTTTGATTGAACTTCTAACGGTAATAGTATTAATTTGTTTCATGGAAATAATTAATGATGTATTCTTTGACAGAAAAGGCAAATGTGGCCTTTTCAAGACACCTAAGGTGTTTTGCTCCACCCCCCACTCTCCCACCCCCATTAATTGCCACAAAGAAAAGAATGGATCATTTTCTTTAACTTTGGAAAACCCCATTAATTTAAGAAATGGTACCCTTCTTATGTTGGAAGTTATCACAAATTATTATATAAAAAAGCTGTTTTCAAGATGGAAATCTGCAATATACTCTCTAGAATATTTATTTCTCTCATAAATCCAAAAGTTTTGTATATTATTTTTGAAAATACAATTTGGAAAAATTTGTCAACATTTTACAAATTAGGAAACCAAAAGCAGTTTCCTGTCCCAGAGTGGCACATTATGGGTTATTAGTAGTACTGGAATAAACACTAGATGTTATAGTCAACAGCTAAGAAGCTACCAACCCACACTCCTACCATTATTCTTGAAAGGCTAGCACCAAGTAACTCTATTTATTTAATTTATTAGTAGTACTGGAATAAACACTAGATGTTATAGTCAACAGCTAAGAAGCTACCAACCCACATTCCTACCATTATTCTTGAAAGGCTAGCACCAAGTAACTCTATTTATTTAATTTTAAAAAGTCTGTAGTCAAGGTTGATACCAAAGCCCTTTACAAAAAGTAAGACAGAGATTTCAGGACCTTAGCTATACTCTGTGGGTAAACAAATAAAAATTACAAAGTCATATACAGAGATCTGCACTTCTGCCCCAAAGAACAAATTATGTTACCTGCATAGTTTGAAAGGAAAAATCTTCTTGTAAGAACTTTTTAACATGAGGAACCACACCTTTCGGTAGAGTATTAATTGCATTTAATAACTTCTTCACTTCTAATAATAGGTTAACAGGGACGAGATCAGTAGGTATGCCCTTGTCCTGTTTGTCCTAGAAGACATTATTCATTAAAAATTTACAAAATTGTACATATTCTCATTTACTCTAATTCTATAACCAGCCAAAATATTAAAAAAGGAACAAAGTGACTCTCTGTAGATCACTGTGACAGAACTACAGAAAATCCAAGTAAGAATAGGATATTGCCTCCATTCTTAAGGACCTTACAATATTGCCTAGATTATTCTACACAATGATATGAAAACTATATCTAAGAGTGCTTTTTACATTATGTGGCTTATGTTTTATCTTCTAAACATAGAAACTTGAAGATGAATAAAGTTATACCAGTTTAAATTGAAAACAAAGTAGTAAAATAAAAGACATCTCATTTCAGTCAGAGATGAGTAAATAGTAATAATCTTGGGACTTCAATAATTGATTCTTAGAGATTTAATAAAGCCATCATTAATGGTTAATTGATAGCTATATGGTTAAGTCCTGCTAGATTGTCTATTAACATTAGTCGTGATGAAATGATGGTAAAAGAGATAGATAAAGGACCTAGAACAGATGGATGATGCCATTCCTTCAAACGTTAAGATGCCACAGTCCCTACAATCTGTTGAAACTTTAACAATATGATTCTTAAAGTGTTAATGTGTTGCTGTTGACCTCTGAAAATCAGAACCGACAGCTACTTATTGCAGAAGCCATGTAGGGTTTGAGTCACTGAAAATGCTCTAGTGTGGGGTGACTCTGTCAAGTCTCTAACAGATCTGGAACTACACAGGAAAGTGACTACTTGAAATTCCATTCTTTTCTGTGTAGTTAATGGTTAATTGATAACTATACAGTCAAGTCCCACAGTACTATCTACCTACTCTCCCCTCCTGGGTTTGAGTCTTAAATTAAGATTCCTCCATCCCCACCCATATCCAACAAATACACCTTACATCTTATACTTCATGTATAAAAATTATACGCAAACATGTAGGAAAATGTTAACAATTTGCTACATCTCTGTGAAGGGTATACGGGTGTTCATTGTACTATTCTTGCAACTTTTCTGTAGGTTTGAAATTTTTCAAAAAGATTTTTAAAAACTCTACAAAGTAACCAGAAAAAACCTTATAAAGAATGACCACTGTCAGTAATGCATATATTTCAAACTAAAGGTCAATTCTGCAGTCAAAAGTCACAGCAGAATCATCTGATATTAATTAACAAATTTATACATAAGCAAGATTATGCACTGATAAAAATTTTTCAACAGGAAATAATATAAGCTTCATGCCTATTAAATATTTATATCTTATTATAAATACTATTTTAATTTTTTTAAGTTAGTTGTCAAAATATTTGATCCAATTTTGAAAAATTGATTTAACATCTAAACCATATTCTGGTGGAAGTGTCCATCTTCCCTGCTTTTTGTATTCAAAATTCTGTATCTAGAATGTCTTGTCTGGATCTACTCTTCTGATTCTTGCCTTTGCTCAACTGTGCAACCCTATATACATTTGCATGTGTTGTATTTCCTCTGCAACATTTTTTATAATGATAACCTCATACAGGTGAATTCTACGGTTATTTTGTTTATATATTTTCTCCTCCTAAGTAACTAGACAATCTCTCCAAACCTTATTAACAAGTGGACATCAATCATTATATAAAACCAGTTGGAACAAGAACCTAACAAATATTTCCTCATCGATCTTTAAATGTAAGTACATATAGTATTCATATAAATATTTTAATCTACCATAAAGTATATTATCACTGGCAATAAAGGCCTTACATTAATGTATGAGGGGGTCTTCAAAAAGTTTATGTAAAAATTCATATTATCTTTTAATTCCGTTTTTCCATTAACTTTTTGAACTACTTTCGTATAGAGTTATTCGTTTTCATTTAGACGTAGAAGTTCTAACAGTTAAGATAATAAAAAATAAGGAAGAAATTTAACTTCAGAAACAACTCAGTGAAACTTCTTACTAAATAAAATTGTGTCTTCTTTGTTATATGCGAACATGTGTAGTTTTCATTTTGTTGAAACTTTTCCTTCAAAAGACAAATGAGGGATTTCTTAAAACTGATTGTTGTGATGTTTCAGGGTGAGTCAAATCAATTTTCTGCTAATTTTAATTTATGGTGAGGACTGGTGTTTTGAATAACCTTGAGATACAATATCAATCATCAAAGAAAGATTTAATTATGACCATTTTGTTTATTAAGGTAGAAAAGTGGAATCACCCAAAAATTTTTAACAGATAATTAAACTGACTAGATTTAGCATTACATTCTCATACATAGTCATTATTAGTTAACTAAAAGCTAATGAAAATTAAATTTCCTCTTACCAGTTGGCCACTTGATTTTTCTACCTCACTCTCAGTTTCCTCCTTTGACTGCTCCTCCACAACGGGGTCCCTATTTTAAAAGAAAAAGGAAAGTGTATTCACAGCATGTCTCACAAAGAACACAATTGTAGTAGTAAAGAATCTAACTTTCAGAAGTGTACCCAATGGGTATCAATGGAAGGCAGGGGAGTTATATTTTCTCCTCACTATAAAAAGACTCCTAGTGAAAGTTTCAACAAAAGATGATTTACACACACAAACATTTCACAATATGATTCTCAGTGTTCTTTAAAATTTAATGGTAAACACAAACCTATTAACTGTCTTTTTCTCAACTTCTAAACCCTACCCCCAAAAGGAACACAAGGAATATCTTTGTGTTATCGAAGAACGAAAAATATTAAGGCAGTATTCTGGAGCCTTTCAAGGTTTCAGAAAGAGTACAAAATGTTCTCAAATGTATACTCTACTTGCTATCTCCACTTCATGATCATTCACTCCTTAACCCAAAACTTCTCAATCCCACATGCATATTCCAATCAGCTGTGAAACCTTTGAAACATCCAGATGCCCAACCCCACTTCAGAGCTTCTAGTCAAAAGTGTTGTGTAAGCTGCTATATTTTCTACATGCTCTAATAAGAAGTTTTGATGTGTAACCTCAGCTAATTCTCACCTCCCCCTCTGCACAAAATAAAGCTAAATTCCTTAGCAAGACAGTTAAAATCCTCCCCAACAATTTTTCCTAAGTTCTTTTCTTACCCTTTCCTCAGCCAAATGATCTCTCATTCTCCCTTGCTTCTACACCCACCAAAATGCTTCTCTCATCCTTTAAAGATCAGTTTGAATGTCAATTTGTGGAAACTCACTCAATGCCTAGTTAATAATTACTGTTACCTCCTATATATAGCCATAGCATCTCTAATATAATACTTATGTATTTTACCTAAAGATATAATTACTTTTTATATATTTTCTCACTACATTATAAGCTCTCTTTAAGCACACAAATTTTGTCTTAGTCTTTATTGCCTGAGCACGAAGGAGTCAGTAAATGCTTGTAAATAAATTAATAAATCACATATTGCTCATTATATGAGATAGTTCAAGGTTGGAGATCTCCAATATTAACCCACTGTTTAGTACTATACGAGAGGTAAGCAGGCTAAACGCGCCCTGGACAGAGGCAACAGATTGCCCTGTGGCCTGTGCCCAACGGAACCACTCAGTAGGGTCTTCTGTTATGCTTAAGTTAACCCCTATGAAACTGGGAAAATAAGAGCACCCACTTCATAAAACTGTTATGAGGTTTATTAGTTAACATTTGTAAAATCATTAAAAACAATGCCTAACACACAGTAAGTCTATGTAAGTATTTGTTAAATAATAAAATATTATTTTGATGAGAATAGCCCAAGGATAGCAAAGTTTAGTACATTTTTCAATTCTTAGCTCTTTGGCCTGGTATCATTCCTAGAGAACTTTTTTAAAATTAGATTTCACCCAGTCTATATCCCCTACTAATCAAAGTTGCTAAATTATCTTGAAGCATAACAGTATATCATTCACACCCAAGGTTATGTGGAAAAGACAAATGTCGTGTCTTTGGAATATAACAAATGCAGTTGGTTTTTATTAACCCATCCCTTACCTCACAAAAAATTCTTCTGGTAGAGAATCCATGCTGCATGATATTCCTATAAAAAAGTCTTATCCCAGTGCTTGCAAACTGACTTTTACTACTGCTGTTTAAAGCTGTAAAGAAAGTAATATTTTTAATGGGAAGGTAGGAGAGTTACATTCTTTCTCCCCACTATACAAATAGCACATAATCGTTAATGAAAATGTTGAAACTGCTACAAAGAGAAGAAAATGAATCATATAGTTTCACCACCCAAACATAAATAATGACTTGACTTTAATATAGTTATTTTTTTCAAAACACAGGTACATTTTACCAATTTGTAATCATATTGAATAGAAAATGTTCTACCCTACCTTTTTTACCACTGTTACATCAAAAGCATCTGTTATTTTATCCTCTTAGAAAACATTCTCAGTGGCTACAAAACAGTTGGTTGATTGGACTTTCCTTGACCATTTCCTTAGAGCTGGACATTTAGTTTCCCATTTTTTTTCCATTATAATTACTTCCATGATAAACTCCATTGTCCATAAAGCTTTTTCTATATTTACTATTATTTCCTTATAATGAATTCTCAAAAGTAGAATTCTTAGGTCAAAAGACACATTTTAAGCCCCTTGGTGCATTGCTAAATGGCTTCCCAAAAGGTCTGTACTAACTTATTTCCCATAGAGGTATATGAGTTCCTGCTTAACACGATCTTGAGAGTACTAATTGTTTTGTTTCATTTTAGCCTACGAATAACATGTAGCCACTTTTTTATAAAATCATGATTCTGTATCTCCATAAAATAGGAGAGGTAGGATGTAAAGAACTCTTGCACATGTTCTGGTTCAAATATCAATGGATGTTGTGGATGTTTCCTGAAAGGAAAAAAAATACTGAGGCAACACAAATGAAAACAAAAAAAAGAGTATCATTAGCATATTTATTTATATAGCTGTCTATTTAATTATTCCAAGAACAAATCTTCTAAAATTAGTCTAGTATAGTCTCCTTTACTGAGAGTTCAAGATCTAGACTACACTACCCTCTGCTAGGCTGGCTTCCCTTTTGGATCCCACTCTGTAAACCCAGGAAGCATATATGAAACTACGGGTAGGTACAAAGGAAGAAATGATGAGAAAAAAGAAAAGAAAGTGGCAGCAATAACATAAATAAAAGAGACAGATTGCCTTGCTGCCAAGCACAAGACTGGAAAAAGTTTCTCATTTGCTGCCTCTGGACCACTTATTTATCTTAGTAACTGGGCAGCCAGCTTCTCTACTTGCATATTTAACATACACCCATAAATTAAATTGATAGAGCTTTTGCAGGCTCTATCTACTAAAAGGTAATTCAGCAGGTAACTCCCAAATCAAGAAAATATATTCCAGGGCTGGCCCATAGCTCACTTGGGAGAGTGTGGTGCTGATAACACCAAGGCCACGGGTTCGGATCCCTATATAGGGATGGCCGGTTAGCTCACTTCAGAGAGCGTGGTGCTGACAACACCAAGTCAAGGGCTAAGATCCCCTTACCGGTCATCTTTTTTTAAAAAAAAAAAAAAGAAAATATATTCAACAAGGTCAATTATAAGTCACCTATTTAGAATTCAGATTGTATTTACTTAAAGAAACACTATCTTATATGATTTTGAGCCCCCAAAAAGCCAATTTATCATAAAGAGTTAAAGTAACTGCAGGACTCAACCCTCCTAAGCCTTGAGATATGAGTACCTTCTTATTAGTGAGTGAGCTTAGAAGGGGAAGGGGCAACACAGTCCTGGTGTAAAGGCTAAAAGAAGTTCCATGGAGACCATCTGTAAAACAAGTACAAGGGGTCTTCAAAAAGTTCATGGGAAGATTTGTACTATCTTTTATTTTTTCACCAACTTTTTGAAATACACTGGTGTTCCTAATTATGTTACTACCAGTATTCTGTATTTGATTCTAAGTGATACAGAAATTCCAGAGACAAGAGTAATTCTCCAAAAATTTGATATTGATATTTCTTAATCAAAACACAAATTCAAAGACACATACACACACACACATACACTTCCTTCTAAATTTCCTCATTTAAGACAGAGAGCTTTCTAATATTTCTTCCTACCCATCCCCAACAACAACAAATAAAACACCTCTTGCTGTCAGTGTTACAACTCATCTACATAAAATCCATTTCTCCTAGGTAAACTTATTTTCTTTTATACTTTTATTTTAAAAATTCAGTAAGTAAGCAAAATCATATTTAAATTTACACTGTTAAAATAATGATAAAAGATACAACCTACAGTTAACAATGAAGCAGAGAGAAGTTGTATAAGCCTTGTCAGTCTTTCACATACATCAGATCTGCTTCATCTCTTTAATAAAAGCTGTATAGAAAAAACACGGCTTTGAGAATTTAAGGATTATCAAACTATTTTTATTTTATGTTTCTATAAACCTACCTGGTTATTTTAGTAAAAAGTAACAGTTAAGACATTATTTCATACCCAAAGCATACAAATGTATGCCTTTTCTAGACAAAACAATTCCCTCATTTCTAGAATTTAGAAAAGCTCAGACATGGAGACCTCCCCCTCTGATAATCTCATCTTTAGTCAGTGGCTGTTTGCACAGATCACAGCAAGGATGAAAAAAGAAAGGAAAATCCTCTGGTAACAAGGTAGAGAGGATAGAAGGTCTCTGCTAAGTTGTTTAATGTTCAGCATGAAAAAGAAAAGGGTGGAAAATTAATAAATCAATAAATCAGAAAATATTGGGATCCTGAATTAGAGTTAAAAAAGGTTACTACCTTTCTTTTTCAGCACGCTTAAAATACAACCTGAGACAAATCTCTATGATGAAAGGTTTTCCAGGAGAGAAGATCATCAAACCCATCATTTCCCAGGAGCTGAGCAGCTACGTGTGGCAAACATTACTGGCAATAGCAGCAGCAGTGGCACTTTACAGCCTCTGCTGGAGAGGAAGGCCTAAGTGCCTAGCAACCAAAATGAAGTAGCCAGCCTGAAATGTTACCACTGTGCTTCTAAAATAATCCAAAGGTTCTTACCATTCTAGAAGAGGTGGGAGGAAAACTTTAAAGCTAGGATTAACATAGGAGAAAGGATGAATCTAGTTTCCCCTGATGTATTCATTTCAATAGACTTACCCTGTCTGCAGGAAACAAAAATTTACTCTCCCTTCCTGAAACTAAGGGAATAGGTTCCTTTTCCACAGGAACCTACTGAGATTCTTGTTGGTTGATCTTGAGGCAACCTAAAGTTCAGTGTCAACTGATAGGACACCTTTATCCACCAAGCAAAATGATTTTATCTGCAGGCTGTGTCTTACTTGTTGAAAAATAAGTTATTAACTTTATATCTTGATAAACCATAAAATGTCTTTCTTATTGTTCTATCTGAGCTCTCAGCTCCCACTTTCCCTCTTATTTGTTGAAATTATGACAAACTTTTTAGTTGTGAAGATGTTTTTTGTTTTCATTTTTAAAGGTGATTCTTTTCTCATCAAAACAGGCTGCTATAGCAAAGCACCATAGACTAGGCAGCTTATAAACAACAGAAATTTATTTCTCACAGCTTTAGAGACTGGAAGTCCGAAATCAAGGTGTTAGCATGGTAGGTTCTAGTGACGGCCCTCTTCCAGGTTATAGTCTGCTGACTTGTATCCTCACATGGCAGAAAGAAGGTGAGAGAGTTCTCTGGGGTCTCTTTTACAATTCCATTCATGAGGGCTCCACCCTCATGACCTAAATTACCTCCCAAAGGCCCCACCCTCCTAATACCATCACATGGGGTTAGAATTTCAATGGGGGGGGGGCAATGCAAACATTCAGTCCATTGCACAGGTGTTCTTTGGATCTAGTATTCTGAAAGTCTTTATTTTTCACATATTAGTGAGCCCCAGGTAGACAAAAATAGCTAAGGCCATCAGGTTAGATTCAAAAAATAAGAGCTTACACCATTATTCTGTATTAGCAATGGTAACAATAAAAAAAAAAAATCTGATTACCTGTTTTTCTAATTTTCCATCAATTTCCTCCATTTTTGTATTTAACTTCTTGTTAAAGCCATAATATAAACATACTTAGACACAGGTGGCCAAAACATTACTTTCCCTCAAAGAATAAATGCAGAGCTTGCTTAGGAAAATTCCAGGACTGATGGATGATTTGGAAAATCTCTGCAAAAGTTATCAGGAACTGAAGACACTTTTTGTCCCAAAAGATCACTGTCCATCTCAGCTCTTACCATTTTGCAAAAATCATTGTTAGCACTTTCTGGAAGCTTAAACCAGGAGGCAAGAGCCCTGCAATGTATAATGTATACCCACTGCCCCCTTGTTACAAATCTGCCAATATAGGAAACATCTTGGCCTAAAGCAAAATTAGCATCTTGTCAGAAGAAGGTTATCTTTCAGATCTATTCAGTCAGTTACTTCTGGACTTACACAGGCAAACCAATAGAATATATACATATTAATTTGTTTTGAACATTTGGAATGTACCTACAATAAATATACATAGTTTAGGATTTATCGGAAAAAACATCCGGATATTAAACTACCTATTAATTTCAGGTATTTTCAGCGAGCTCTGCTGAAACCCTGCTGTGCAGAAAGGGTAGCTAGGAACCTTGGAAGAAGCATATACTACTCCAAAGCAAATTCTCCAAAAGTGGAATATTGCAGCAATTTCAAAATATTATGTTGTTTCTAAATTGTTATACAATAACAACAAAAGGAGAATGTTGAAACATGACACATGTTGAGATGATAATCAACCAGGGAATGGAGGACACTTCTTTTATGTACTTGGCTCTCCTACCACCAGCTACAAAGCCTACTCTATCCACTTCCAACTTGCTCCATCCATGTAAGACAATGGGCTACTCATTGCTATCTCAGACAGGCATACATTTGCAAGAAGGGGTGGGTAAGAAGGTAGATCAAGTTTTTGGTCATGAATAGTTTCCTTTCATATAAAATTAAATAGGTGTACAATATTAATTTGGGTTTCATTAAAAATAAAGTTAAGATTCACCAAGATGGTGACGGGTCTGGAGCGGCCATGACAGGAGACAGCGCAATCCTGTGAGCCGTGCACTGTGATACCAGAGTATTGATTG